AATCATGGTAACTTCATGAAGGAGTGTGGAACGTGTTTTTTGTCTGTGCGAGGAGTTTCATCTGGTTAAGTTGTTCAGAAAATGAAACAGATAGTAAAACACTTCCCAGTGCTTGGTTCAGTTTTTCGCTGGAACCATTCAGGCCTAAGTTTATGATCGAAATTGAAACCTGAATGTTGATGCAGTTTCCAAGCCTTTTGGTCAGCTGTTGAAGAAGGCACTCGTCGGCGCCTCGCACGAGAGAAGACGGATGTGATTTTGAAAGCTGTAGTGAAGCGCTTTTTCAATGAGAAGGAGGTGACATCAACATTGGTTATGGACGCACTTTACAGTGGATGCAAATCGCTGGATTATAGGAGCAGGAACAAGAAGGGTAAAATTAGCGGTGTGGACGTGGAGGAAGCCATTAATCCCATAGTGTGGGTGGACAAGGATGCTTTTGTACTTGCTGGTGATGTGTTGCTCTTGCTTGAGCGGGTGGTCTCTGAAATCTTGCCACCTTACAAGGATGACAAGGGACCGCAAAATCGAACGAAGGTTTCTACTTTGCTCTGCACAGCTCTTTGATGCTAGCCTGGGTTGAATAGCTTGCTTGTGTTCGGAGTTTGGGAATGCTTTTATTTTTTCGTTTTTTTATGTCCAGGAATTGGTGTTTTACTTGTAGGTAGGCAATGGAGGTCTTACTACTTATAATAGTTGCAGGATGGTAGCTTTGGCGATGATTTTGGCAAAGACTCAGTGGAGCGTGACGAACGGCGGTTAACTGAACTTGGCAGACGAACTGTTGAAATGTTTGTTCTGGCTCATTTATACACGTATGTGGATCCATCATTTTTACCTCCACCAAACATTTTTCCTGGTTTTTTTCATTTTCTCATACGTGGATGCCATTAGAATGTTTGGCGACAAATACTGAGCTTTTATGCTTTCTAGATTAGGCCATAAAGAGTTATCGTGTGTTCTGCCACAAAGCAATTAGAAGTTATTGAGAGCTCGCTGTAACAGTGAAATACTGCGAGCAACGACGAACGGTTTGTTTCAAAAATAAATACGTAAATCAACAGATGATGTATAACTACAAAGAGGACTCGCGAAGGTGAGGATGCTCTTATGAGCCAAACAGTAGCGTGTGTCGCGGGATTAGTAAAGCGCTTAAACTACCTACCCATGGAGTATAATTTTTGATCACTCATTTATTTTGAAGCGCTTTTGTGCCCTCAATGTGTCACATCCTCGTACTGATTCCGGCGATGATTTCAAGGAATTCGAAGTATCAATGTGGCTGTGTTTGTGATGTGAGAGGTGAGATTTCAGATGCTTGGTAATTCAGAACACCTTACATTCAACAGCATGGACGACCAACAGTTCAAGGATGGGATTTGGTATATCTGTTCCTTTCTAGAGTAGTTCTTTGGCTTTAATTGCTGTTTGATGTGATGCAGCAATCGTGTAGAGGTCGCTTACAGAGAGGCAGTTGCATTGAAGAGGCAAGAAGAGCTTATTCGTGAAGAGGAGGCTGCTGGGTTAGCGGAAACTGAACTTCGAGCTAAACGCGAGGCAGCTGAGAAGGAAAAGCGGTCAAAGAAAAAACAGGTCAGATTTGTCGAACTACGTTTCAGGTGTAGTAGTATCTAGAGCTTGCCTGTTCACGTTTGTGATCTCATGGCTCATTTGTAAAAGCTTGTAACAGTGATGCTCTTTTAGGTTCTCGAGGGGTTTCACTCTCTGTCAGGTGTTCATCTGGGTATATTTTTGTTTTGGTGGTTCGTATTGTTATCGTTTTAGTCTCGCCTTTGATAGGGCTGTTTCTCATCATTATTACTTTGGATGAATGAAACGGATTCAAGTTTGTTCCCTCCAGGCGAAGCAAAGGAGGAAAGATCGCAAGGACAAAGATAAAGAAACAGAGGAAAGACGTGTGCGGGTAGAACAAGAAAATCGTCAACGCCAATCTGAGTCTTCCAGGCCTAAGGAACGAATGCCAAAGGGGCGGGGGATTATTTCACTCATTCCAGCAGATGCAACGGACGATGTTGGGACTCTGGGACTCGCTACAGAGGACGGTGATGTAGATCACACCACCTGGGAAAGAGACGTATCATACGGTCATAGCGGCATGGAGACCGCTGAATTCAGCGGAGCACATGAAGGAAGTTCGACACGTAACGGCAGAGCGGCACGAAAGAATCAGGCATCCGCATTTGACGATAGTTCCTCTACATGCTCGTCTGACTCTCTTCCTTCGGTGAGGCCTTCTATGAACGGATCATATAGCACACGACCAAGCTTGTCCGAGCAGAATCATACAGTTCTCAACAGGTGAGCTCGTCCCCTGAACTGTTCGAGGGATTTGATTTGCATCTACTCAGATATACAAAATGGTTTAACATCTTGTCAGATATACACAATATTTTAAAACGGAACGATGGGGATGATTTCATCAAGTTGAGGGTCTGCCATATCAATGACGTGTACCCAATATTCTCGCGGACGCCGTACTTGTAAGTGTGCACATTCACTGCTTATTATTCTGTGTACTGTGCAGAGGGAGGAGTAGAGGAGACAGCGATGGGTATGAACAAGACGGGAGGTTTTTAGAAGCTGATGGTACCATCATGCGTGCGACTGGTCTGGATCCTAGTGGTCCTGATGAAGCTAGCAGTAGTAGTTCTGCAGGAGTGGATAATGAGACTGTAATTCTTTCACTTAAGGAGCGTGTCCGATGGCTTGAGCAACGTCTTTGTGAAAAGGTACGCAAGTAAATATCTTTTTCTAGTTTATGTACGTCTCATGTTCAATCTTCGTGTATTGAATGTACTGCATTCATCATGGTCAGTATAAATTGATGGAGAAATCCTCGAGTTTGGGCTTCACATAGATCATAGACAGCACGCTTCTTGTTTTACTTTTTTACTTTGTATTTTGTTTTACTTTGTTTATTTGTTAATCTTTTCAGACGGTTTCACATGTAGGATGAGGAGGTTGTAATGCTACAAGAGCAGGTTAGCCTCTTCCAACATCAAATGAGACTGGACCGACCGTCTTCTCATGAGCGTCTACCAGAGGAAGCGTATGGAGGGTCTATGCCTGGTGCATCGAGTGCAGCAAGTTCCTCACCAGCCGATGAAAGTAGCAGCTGCTTTTCCTCTGCAACCCTTGATGTGGAAAAGCTGACTGGCCAGCAGATTAGATCAAGTAAAACAATAGCAGGTACGACCAACGCAAGTGGTCATTCATCAACATTCAATGCCAACGGAACAACTGCAGGTGGCGCAGGCAGTAACGGTGACAGCAATAGCAGGTGGTTTCTAGCTTTTGCAGTCAATAATGTTGACAATAGTAGTAGGCATGGTATGAATCCAGCTAAAGTGGATGTTGGTACGCCCAAACCGTCTGCCCCAGTAAAAGCTCGTAGCATTGAAGGATCCAGGCCGCCTCGTGTAGGGATGCCTCCATCATCATCAGGAACCAGTTTGGCCGCTGGGATCGAAGAAACAAGCTCAAGTTGTTCCGCCACCTTATCTGCAACTTCACCTGTGATTACCCGTCCCGCAAGTGCACCCGGTTTGGTACCTACTCAGCGATCAGGAATGCTTGGCCCCGTTTTGGAATCTCAACCTCCGCTATCACGATCTTTGAGTGCAGCAGGCCGATTGGCCTTGGGCCCAGGCCCCTCTGTAGGAGCCCACTGCAATGGAAATGCACATATTAGCCCTCCAGTGTCACCTTCGTACAGAAATGCTGCTGCAGGGAAGATAAGAAGCTTAGCAGGCTTAGCTTCATATCCTGTTTCAAGTTCTGGAAGTGTGCACAGTGGAGTTTCAGCTTCCATGTCAGGAGCAACCACTTCAGCTGTAATTCTGGACACTCCCGCAGTGCCAAGCCCATCTCATGGAAGTGCTCCATCGATGTATTCGACTGCACCTACGGTCTCAGCGTCCTCTCCTCTGACGCCTGCTTCCAAGGTGCGGATAGACCCCGTGCAGGGTACCCAAAGTGGAAGAACAGAGGCAGCTACCTCCCCTTCGACCACACCAGCGCTTTTGCAATGCCCAGTGGTTCCGGATGCTTTACCAGAACCCTTGTCGAATGGTTTGCTTCCACAAGAGTACATCTGTAGCCAGGGCGTTGCAGGTGGGAGGCGATCACCAGTCGGCATCACTTTTGGGACCGTGACTCCAGAGGTGCTGCACCAGCAGCAGCAGGAGGAGGACCAAGAGCATATGCAACCACGACAGAAAGATGAGCAAGCACAAGCACAACATCAGACACTGCCACAACTTCATAAACAAGAATCCGTGGATCCTCACAAGCAAGAGAACGTAGTCTTTCAGGAGGGCCTTTCAAGACATCACTGTTATGGGCAGCAAGCCAATCAGAGGCCTGCCCATTCAAGCCTGTTACGTGAAAATGGAGTTTTGAGTGGGGATAGGCATAGCATGATGTCCATAGTGGAACCCGTTAATAATGGAGGTATGGGAGAAGAATTCCCGCATCTTGACATTATTAATGATTTGTTAGAGGATGATCCTGGCTGCTTTGGGTTGGCACTAAGTGCAATGCTCCATCAACCAGGGTCTGCTCAGTTCTCCAACCGTCATCTTAGTATGCCAGGTCACTCTGGTATGTTCAAGCACAGCCAATATGGCCAGGTTCGTTCAGACAGCAGTGCTGTGAATAGTGATGGAAGTGATAGAGGGAGGACATCAGATGATGAACGAATGCTTATGCACGAAGGAAACGCTGCCAGCATAAGGGTTAACAGACGTTTATCTGTTGCATTCTCTCATCAACCTTTGCGCAGAGTGCAGAGTCAGCATAGTGGACACCTTGATAGTATAGCGTCTCATTATTGGCCAATCGTGAGTGCAGGATTACCGGCAGGAGACAGTGTAAGAAATGGTCTGGACAGTCGCGTGCGTTATCCTCTAGTGCAAAGTCATCATGTTTCTGTTCAGGATTGCTCAGGATTCTCCTTGAGGCATAATGGTTATTCTGTACATGCTCCTGCTCAGCGGCCATAGATAATAATCTGCCGTCATTGTTTTTGCAAACTTCTTTCTAAACTGCCCACTTCTTCTTGTGACTTGTCTGTGGGTTCGTAGATGTTGCAAATTCTTCTGTCTGTGTTTTTGATCTGGGTGATGTTAGATTTGTTTGAGATTTTCTGATTTTTTTGTGCAATTATTTATCGTTGTTGCAGATACTGATTATTGGATTCTCATGGAAAATTTCATTAGGTGTTCAAATGCAACTAATATGTCCATGAATTCGATAGGCATGGCATTACTTTCAACATAATAAACAAAAAAAACCAGAACACCCATGACAACTCTGAAACTATAACTCCCATGCAGACAAAAAGTCACAAGAAAAACCAAAAAGTTTGCACAAACAATGACGGCAGATTATTATCTATGGCCGCTGAGCAGGAGCATGTACAGAATAACCATTATGCCTCAAGGAGAATCCTGAGCAATCCTGAACAGAAACATGATGACTTTGCACTAGAGGATAACGCACGCGACTGTCCAGACCATTTCTTACACTGTCTCCTGCCGGTAATCCTGCACTCACGATTGGCCAATAATGAGACGCTATACTATCAAGGTGTCCACTATGCTGACTCTGCACTCTGCGCAAAGGTTGATGAGAGAATGCAACAGATAAACGTCTGTTAACCCTTATGCTGGCAGCGTTTCCTTCGTGCATAAGCATTCGTTCATCATCTGATGTCCTCCCTCTATCACTTCCATCACTATTCACAGCACTGCTGTCTGAACGAACCTGGCCATATTGGCTGTGCTTGAACATACCAGAGTGACCTGGCATACTAAGATGACGGTTGGAGAACTGAGCAGACCCTGGTTGATGGAGCATTGCACTTAGTGCCAACCCAAAGCAGCCAGGATCATCCTCTAACAAATCATTAATAATGTCAAGATGCGGGAATTCTTCTCCCATACCTCCATTATTAACGGGTTCCACTATGGACATCATGCTATGCCTATCCCCACTCAAAACTCCATTTTCACGTAACAGGCTTGAATGGGCAGGCCTCTGATTGGCTTGCTGCCCATAACAGTGATGTCTTGAAAGGCCCTCCTGAAAGACTACGTTCTCTTGCTTGTGAGGATCCACGGATTCTTGTTTATGAAGTTGTGGCAGTGTCTGATGTTGTGCTTGTGCTTGCTCATCTTTCTGTCGTGGTTGCATATGCTCTTGGTCCTCCTCCTGCTGCTGCTGGTGCAGCACCTCTGGAGTCACGGTCCCAAAAGTGATGCCGACTGGTGATCGCCTCCCACCTGCAACGCCCTGGCTACAGATGTACTCTTGTGGAAGCAAACCATTCGACAAGGGTTCTGGTAAAGCATCCGGAACCACTGGGCATTGCAAAAGCGCTGGTGTGGTCGAAGGGGAGGTAGCTGCCTCTGTTCTTCCACTTTGGGTACCCTGCACGGGGTCTATCCGCACCTTGGAAGCAGGCGTCAGAGGAGAGGACGCTGAGACCGTAGGTGCAGTCGAATACATCGATGGAGCACTTCCATGAGATGGGCTTGGCACTGCGGGAGTGTCCAGAATTACAGCTGAAGTGGTTGCTCCTGACATGGAAGCTGAAACTCCACTGTGCACACTTCCAGAACTTGAAACAGGATATGAAGCTAAGCCTGCTAAGCTTCTTATCTTCCCTGCAGCAGCATTTCTGTACGAAGGTGACACTGGAGGGCTAATATGTGCATTTCCATTGCAGTGGGCTCCTACAGAGGGGCCTGGGCCCAAGGCCAATCGGCCTGCTGCACTCAAAGATCGTGATAGCGGAGGTTGAGATTCCAAAACGGGGCCAAGCATTCCTGATCGCTGAGTAGGTACCAAACCGGGTGCACTTGCGGGACGGGTAATCACAGGTGAAGTTGCAGATAAGGTGGCGGAACAACTTGAGCTTGTTTCTTCGATCCCAGCGGCCAAACTGGTTCCTGATGATGATGGAGGCATCCCTACACGAGGCGGCCTGGATCCTTCAATGCTACGAGCTTTTACTGGGGCAGACGGTTTGGGCGTACCAACATCCACTTTAGCTGGATTCATACCATGCCTACTACTATTGTCAACATTATTGACTGCAAAAGCTAGAAACCACCTGCTATTGCTGTCACCGTTACTGCCTGCGCCACCTGCAGTTGTTCCGTTGGCATTGAATGTTGATGAATGACCACTTGCGTTGGTCGTACCTGCTATTGTTTTACTTGATCTAATCTGCTGGCCAGTCAGCTTTTCCACATCAAGGGTTGCAGAGGAAAAGCAGCTGCTACTTTCATCGGCTGGTGAGGAACTTGCTGCACTCGATGCACCAGGCATAGACCCTCCATACGCTTCCTCTGGTAGACGCTCATGAGAAGACGGTCGGTCCAGTCTCATTTGATGTTGGAAGAGGCTAACCTGCTCTTGTAGCATTACAACCTCCTCATCCTACATGTGAAACCGTCTGAAAAGATTAACAAATAAACAAAGTAAAACAAAATACAAAGTAAAAAAGTAAAACAAGAAGCGTGCTGTCTATGATCTATGTGAAGCCCAAACTCGAGGATTTCTCCATCAATTTATACTGACCATGATGAATGCAGTACATTCAATACACGAAGATTGAACATGAGACGTACATAAACTAGAAAAAGATATTTACTTGCGTACCTTTTCACAAAGACGTTGCTCAAGCCATCGGACACGCTCCTTAAGTGAAAGAATTACAGTCTCATTATCCACTCCTGCAGAACTACTACTGCTAGCTTCATCAGGACCACTAGGATCCAGACCAGTCGCACGCATGATGGTACCATCAGCTTCTAAAAACCTCCCGTCTTGTTCATACCCATCGCTGTCTCCTCTACTCCTCCCTCTGCACAGTACACAGAATAATAAGCAGTGAATGTGCACACTTACAAGTACGGCGTCCGCGAGAATATTGGGTACACGTCATTGATATGGCAGACCCTCAACTTGATGAAATCATCCCCATCGTTCCGTTTTAAAATATTGTGTATATCTGACAAGATGTTAAACCATTTTGTATATCTGAGTAGATGCAAATCAAATCCCTCGAACAGTTCAGGGGACGAGCTCACCTGTTGAGAACTGTATGATTCTGCTCGGACAAGCTTGGTCGTGTGCTATATGATCCGTTCATAGAAGGCCTCACCGAAGGAAGAGAGTCAGACGAGCATGTAGAGGAACTATCGTCAAATGCGGATGCCTGATTCTTTCGTGCCGCTCTGCCGTTACGTGTCGAACTTCCTTCATGTGCTCCGCTGAATTCAGCGGTCTCCATGCCGCTATGACCGTATGATACGTCTCTTTCCCAGGTGGTGTGATCTACATCACCGTCCTCTGTAGCGAGTCCCAGAGTCCCAACATCGTCCGTTGCATCTGCTGGAATGAGTGAAATAATCCCCCGCCCCTTTGGCATTCGTTCCTTAGGCCTGGAAGACTCAGATTGGCGTTGACGATTTTCTTGTTCTACCCGCACACGTCTTTCCTCTGTTTCTTTATCTTTGTCCTTGCGATCTTTCCTCCTTTGCTTCGCCTGGAGGGAACAAACTTGAATCCGTTTCATTCATCCAAAGTAATAATGATGAGAAACAGCCCTATCAAAGGCGAGACTAAAACGATAACAATACGAACCACCAAAACAAAAATATACCCAGATGAACACCTGACAGAGAGTGAAACCCCTCGAGAACCTAAAAGAGCATCACTGTTACAAGCTTTTACAAATGAGCCATGAGATCACAAACGTGAACAGGCAAGCTCTAGATACTACTACACCTGAAACGTAGTTCGACAAATCTGACCTGTTTTTTCTTTGACCGCTTTTCCTTCTCAGCTGCCTCGCGTTTAGCTCGAAGTTCAGTTTCCGCTAACCCAGCAGCCTCCTCTTCACGAATAAGCTCTTCTTGCCTCTTCAATGCAACTGCCTCTCTGTAAGCGACCTCTACACGATTGCTGCATCACATCAAACAGCAATTAAAGCCAAAGAACTACTCTAGAAAGGAACAGATATACCAAATCCCATCCTTGAACTGTTGGTCGTCCATGCTGTTGAATGTAAGGTGTTCTGAATTACCAAGCATCTGAAATCTCACCTCTCACATCACAAACACAGCCACATTGATACTTCGAATTCCTTGAAATCATCGCCGGAATCAGTACGAGGATGTGACACATTGAGGGCACAAAAGCGCTTCAAAATAAATGAGTGATCAAAAATTATACTCCATGGGTAGGTAGTTTAAGCGCTTTACTAATCCCGCGACACACGCTACTGTTTGGCTCATAAGAGCATCCTCACCTTCGCGAGTCCTCTTTGTAGTTATACATCATCTGTTGATTTACGTATTTATTTTTGAAACAAACCGTTCGTCGTTGCTCGCAGTATTTCACTGTTACAGCGAGCTCTCAATAACTTCTAATTGCTTTGTGGCAGAACACACGATAACTCTTTATGGCCTAATCTAGAAAGCATAAAAGCTCAGTATTTGTCGCCAAACATTCTAATGGCATCCACGTATGAGAAAATGAAAAAAACCAGGAAAAATGTTTGGTGGAGGTAAAAATGATGGATCCACATACGTGTATAAATGAGCCAGAACAAACATTTCAACAGTTCGTCTGCCAAGTTCAGTTAACCGCCGTTCGTCACGCTCCACTGAGTCTTTGCCAAAATCATCGCCAAAGCTACCATCCTGCAACTATTATAAGTAGTAAGACCTCCATTGCCTACCTACAAGTAAAACACCAATTCCTGGACATAAAAAAACGAAAAAATAAAAGCATTCCCAAACTCCGAACACAAGCAAGCTATTCAACCCAGGCTAGCATCAAAGAGCTGTGCAGAGCAAAGTAGAAACCTTCGTTCGATTTTGCGGTCCCTTGTCATCCTTGTAAGGTGGCAAGATTTCAGAGACCACCCGCTCAAGCAAGAGCAACACATCACCAGCAAGTACAAAAGCATCCTTGTCCACCCACACTATGGGATTAATGGCTTCCTCCACGTCCACACCGCTAATTTTACCCTTCTTGTTCCTGCTCCTATAATCCAGCGATTTGCATCCACTGTAAAGTGCGTCCATAACCAATGTTGATGTCACCTCCTTCTCATTGAAAAAGCGCTTCACTACAGCTTTCAAAATCACATCCGTCTTCTCTCGTGCGAGGCGCCGACGAGTGCCTTCTTCAACAGCTGACCAAAAGGCTTGGAAACTGCATCAACATTCAGGTTTCAATTTCGATCATAAACTTAGGCCTGAATGGTTCCAGCGAAAAACTGAACCAAGCACTGGGAAGTGTTTTACTATCTGTTTCATTTTCTGAACAACTTAACCAGATGAAACTCCTCGCACAGACAAAAAACACGTTCCACACTCCTTCATGAAGTTACCATGATTACCTGTTCCATCGAGCTGTATCTTCCATAAGCTTCCCCAGCTTTTCTCTTTTCTCTTCAACAAAACGTCGGCAGATTCCCTCAACGTTAGTCAGGTATACTCGAACAAGCTCCCTCCGATACTGACAATCCAGGCATCGGAATGGGCGGTGGGGATTATCTCTGCAAATAAAAGGAAACAAACTGTAAGAATGCAGCACCTTACCACCACATGGCATATCCCTAAATCATGACATAAATACAAGACCGAAAAGCACACCATTTCATTCACATGTAACACTTTCCAGTACTCTAATAGAAGACTTAAACGCAACTTTCAAAACAGCTCAAGAGCAATCAAATGTAATAGTTGGTCGGTCTTCGACTCTTATACTAGTTGTCGGCCACATCCATCATATAAGATTCATACTCGAGAAAGCCCAATACCAGAAGCAAAACAAACAATATACCTGATAACTTGTACTTGAGCCTTTATGACGAGAGTATCAGCAACTGTAAAACCATCTAAGACTTTGGAGAGCTCCATGAATTTCTTCCAACCCCAGTCGTGTTCTTTTTTACAGAATCGGTGTAGGGTGTCTGAAATCCTCCACATAAGACAGTGATTTAAAAACCACAGACTCAGCAGTAAAGATCATCACAAGTCATGCTACTTCCACTACTCTAACAAACTACATAAACAACACGGACTAGATCACGGCAACCCTACATGAAAAATCAGTTCAAGAATCCGCAATACTTCAAAAGGAACATGTCAAGATCCAGACACACCAACTCGTTCAAACACATTACAAAATCAACACTCAACGAATGAGAGCCGGCCCCAGGAACCTAGAATGGTGATAAAGGCACAAAATCTACATTTTACAACATACACCTTGAAAATTCATGAACTTTACCGGAATATTTAGATTTTTTGGGGTCCTTGTTAACAACAGCAATAGTAAACTGCGCAAAGTGACTCCAGCCTGCGTTTGACGACAAGTCCGTCACGAAGTTACAGTGCCACAATACTTCATGCCCCAAACCATATATAAAGAACTGCGGAGGATTGGCACTTCCAAAACTCCACTTAGGAATGCGATGCAAGACAGCTCTGACATGACAAACCGGATGCGAGAAAAGAGATTTCTACGAACACCCAAATGCGAAGCTCGGTAGTCTGAACCATACCAGGCAAAAGCTTGTCGTAGTCTGCAACACACAGAAAGAGGGATAAATGATTGCAAACATCGCATCCTTGTGGATACACCAGAATGTACCTGTGAAAATGCGCCAACGAGATCTCTTCAATAATTGACCCTAGTTGCTCTAGAAAGGGTTTTCTAACAACTCTAATCTCGTAAAATTAACTAAACTTGGCACATAATGTAGAGCTGCTAAATGCCTGTCCTGCAAACAAGAACCAGCATAAACTCAAACTAGAGTGATGCAATCTACAATTTAGCGTTCAACTTTAACTGGTTCTTGCCAACGGTATAATCAGAACGGGGACACAAAAGCATGATTTTAGTCTGCTGACAAACTGATGCCATGGAGCTTAAAGCAGAACTTTCACCATCATCACATACAAGCACCCACTCACTGCTCCAACCGACCTTATATCTACATGTAAACGCACCCCAAAGCCTCTGCACTCAAGCTCCTGAGAAACAAAGCTGATTACCCTGACTTGGGAAAAGTTGGGTGAGGGTGCCTGGGATAATACTGTCAGCGTTTAAAAGCTGTCACTCCAACATGCATTGCAGAAAGAGTGAACAAAGCAGACAGCGCTTAAAATGCACACGCATCGAGACACCTCTCACAGCCCCTACCGTTGCACTGATGCAGTAAGTTCTCAAATATGTGCCACAAAGTGAAGGCAAAACAACAAAAACCTCACCACTTGTAGCCACCAACTTCGAAGACATTGCTGCGCAGTTCTCGCTTGCTGATCTCCGAAAAATTCTCTATTTTCCAAGTGAACTTCCCATACAGGTCTGTGGGCTTAGGTCCTGAATTTGCAAAAGCTAGTAACGTCAGAAAACAACCGTGAGGACAATCACGCTTAGAAAGACATAAAGATAGCCAAATTCATATGTACAACCTTAAGAAGGATACCGCCTCCTCTGAAGCGTCCCCAACAACAAAAAGTCTAGACATAATAAGTATACACATAAACATTGACGTTCAACGTGGACATGGACAAAAAATAGCCCGCCCAAATTGAGCCTCACCTACTGAAGACACAATCAAGAACCTCATCTAATACTACCTTGCTGAACATCGAAAAAAGAATAAGATTCAACAACGACCAGAGAATTTCGTTACACGATTGGGATGCTCCTACTCAAGAAATAACGTAACGCTTATCGAAAGCGTGGGCAGGTCCATGACGTTGACAACTGCGTGCCTCCAGTTGCTACAAACCGAAACCAAACTGTCCATAATACCTTAACTACAAATTAAAAACTGAAAATCGTGCCCACTGCAATTGAGAAAACTACATCAATAAATACTGAATATCATAACAGCCTGCCATCCGCAGCTCACAGAAAGGACGTCGAACTCTATAAAGTAATACAAAATCAAACAAAGTAAATTTAAACAAAAGCGTGCAACTCTTCCTGTTGCATAAAATTCCATAGCCTTGTTCAATCCTATGCGCTGATACAATTGCGTAGCGCAATTCACTCGAAGAATGCCACACCAAAGGGCATAAAAGCAAGCTGAATAAGCCATCATTGATAATGGCAACCAGTTTCGCTGACAAAGCAGATCACAAAGCAAGCTTCGTCATATCTATACTTACGACTGTATTGGCAGGTCAAGCCTCGTTTCCGTCCATACAGGCAGCACGCTACACGTTCACTATAAGCATCGCTTCCACATATATTGTAAGTTGGAAGGACAGAAAGCGAGACGCGAAATTTTGCAACATACCCCGTCCGATGTCCAGTGTCAACATTCATCACAGTAATCTAGGTCGAAATTGCCCCAGCATGGCAATGTGATGTCCGGATGCAATGGAGTGCTCGAAGCAAGCATGAACATGCGTGCTAGATGATGATTAGCGCTTATTCATGCATGCCGCTCGACAAAGCTTCCACCAAAACTTTCACCACGCCTCCATTCAAAGAACAACATGCCACCTGCCCTAACGTGTCCGATACCACCTTGCACATCCGCCAAACCCTACAAAGACCGTGGGGCTCTGCTGAGTGGAGCCCTAGACCTGATATGCCCTCTCAATACTCGAGTCATACACGGTCCAAACCACGACCACCACTCCAAAAGACAGAACGCCTTAATCGACAACACGCAGTATCCAGAGAACGGGACGGCTCGGTGCATACCATTCATGCACGACGAATTGGAATCGTCATCATCATCAGTGTCCCAGTAAGCAGGCGACGTCGAGGGTGGCGAAGGCTCCAGCTGTTCCCGCGAGCGCCACTCTGGAGGTAGATCCGCCATCGGATACAGCTTCGACACGGCTGCATCCGCTGACGGCACACTCCCTCCCAGCGACTCTCCTCTTGAATGGCATGCCATCACTCCCGCGCGGACGCACACTTGGTCTCGCCCTCCCGGTCTCTGTCCGGCGTGCACACACCACTCCTCACCCTCAAACCTCTCGACTTGTACCCGCCACGCAGGGGCACCCTAATGTGTACCCGCCCCGTTCCTCAACGTCGCCTCCCCTCTCTCCCACCATTCCCACCACTTCCCCTACTCAAAATCCCGGCCTACCGTCATTCTTCTCATTAATTCTCTCCTGCAACAATCACCAACTGCGCACTGAGAAACCCTACACAGTTCTCCACAAATGAACATCTGCAGGCCAAACCAGTCTAGATTATAAAAAAAAAAGAGAGACAGCGGCGCACTGCGCTACTGATAGACGGGTCAAATGATCTGCCACATATGTGGGAGCAATGAAGGTGCAAAGGGCAACGGTGGGAGGTAGGAAGGACGGATGGAAGGGGAGGAGGAGGAGCAGGAAGGGAAGAAGCTCTTGAGCGCGGGGCTGTAACAACAAATGCGAGGACGGGGCCAAGGGGAGCGGGGGGCATCGGTTGACAGCATAACCAACGCAGGGCGCTCCCTCCCGTTCGCTTCTAGCCGAACCCGCTCCCCTGCGAAGTGACTTTTTGTTTTCTATTGCAAAGTCTACCCGTCGACAAGTCTCATGTTGTTCTGGCTTGCCAGGCCCCACTTCCGTCCTTTTCCTCCTCCTCTGCTGTCGTTCGCCTCATGTATCACCACCGTCTCCCATCACTCGAAGCCCTTTCTGCATCATGGTGCCAATGTAACTATGAACACGTTTTTTTGCAAAATAACGGAACACACTATTCAAAAAATACAACACACAAAAAAATAAATAAATAAAAATAAAATAACTTGATGCAATTTCCATAACCAGTTTGTAAAATTATCACATACAAATTTATCAATCTTAAGTCAAATTATAGGATCCAAATTTATTTAAGGTAAATTGTGTATTTTTGTATTTGTTCATTCATCCAATTTCAATAACGTTTTTCACCTTTGTCGTATTATCTTCATTATTTTATTTCTTCTTTTTTTTAGATAGATAGTCATATTGTTGAAGTAAAAGTGAAAGTAGAATAAGTTACCTTGTAGAGGATATTACCTTAGATAAGTTGCTAATGGTCAAAGGGTCGACTCTTAGTATATAGAAAAGAAATCTTATGGATATAAGTCGAGGTCAAGAACCAAGAGTCAAAGTCAAGAGGATAAAGTATTAACTAGGGAATATCCAAAGACTAGGTAAGAATAATTAGTACAAGGCATGGATATCCTCAAGGTTAGTGAGATGCCAAAAGGATTCTAGAACCATGTGTACAAAAGTCAAAGAGTGGAAGTTGTCTTTTTGGGCAACAACCACTGCCTATAAGTATTGAGTGTTGGAAGTGAGACATATCTTACTCCATACTCTCTTTGTATGCAACTTTGCTGATGCTAAGTGTTGTGACTTCAAAGTGTTTATTCTTCAATGGATTATGGGCCCACATACCTTTAGTTGTGAGTTTTGAAGTTCTTTGAAGACTTTATTGGTATTAAGAGTAGATCTTATGGTTTTTTTGCTGATGTTAGGATTTGGTATCTTCTAAACTTACTTTTGTAACTAATTATTGATGTTGTTATTGCTCTTACTTGTTGTTAAGTGCATTCATAATCTTGGAGGTTGTTAGACACCTTAGATTGATGTTTTAGGATACTTGTGTTGTATTTCTTTGCTAAGTTTCATCATTGGTGTTCTAACTTTGTGCTTTTATGTACTAATCTCTTTAAGAGATCCACTTATTGTGATAAAAAGTGTTTTGTGAGGTTAGAAGTGTTTTGTGAAAGAAGAGAGGTGATTAAAGAGAGGCAAACCTTATGTAAGAGATTATGATAGAATATCAGACTTGTGAAAAAGTCTTATAAGTGAAGTTGAAAGTGATTGAAGAGTATAAATAATAATTTACTTACTAAGAAGGCATTTTGGATTTTTAAGGCAACAACTTCTTCTTGTTGATTTTGAGAGTTCATACTTTTTTTTTCTTGATATTCTTTGATACATCTCTTCTTTAGACATGGCTTCAAGTAAGGGTGAGGGTTTAAGAGTGATTGAAAAGTTTAGGGGTGACAACTTCTACCATTGGAAGAAGAAAATGGAGCTTTTGTTGGCTTCATTGGATCTTTGGAATATTGTTGATGAAAGTGAAGACCATCCAAGTGATGATACTGATGTGAAGGTGAAGAAGGAGTACAAATGACATGAAAAGAAGGCTTTTGGCATGATTGCAACAAATCTTGATGTTGCCAACTTTTCACATGTAATTGCTTGTACTAAACCAACAGAAGCATGGAAGACTCTTTGTAACATCTATAAAAATAAAAACCTTGCCAACATTCTATGGATAAGAAAGAAGTTTTTAATAGTAAAGATGGAAGAAGGAGTTGATCTCATGGGCCATATCAACAAGATAAAAGTACTTGCAAATCAACTAGCAGTTGTTGATACACCAATTGATAATAGAGAAATTATGTTGACATTACTCATGAGCCTTCCTGAGTCCTAGAACTATCTCATTGTGGCATTGGAGTCTATTAACATGAAGGAGCTTACTATGAACTATGTCATGTCAAGACTAGCTAATGAAGTAACCAAGAAAAAAGAAAAAGAGCATCAAAATGAGGATTCGGCTCTATTCTTAAGACAAGGCAAAGGTAGTTTTTCTCACCAATGTGATAATTTAAAGAGCAACATGAGAAATTACTATATTTGTAGAAAATCAAGACACTTTGCTAGAAATTGCCACAAAGCCAAGAAAGGAGATAGAGAGAATGCAAACAATGCTTGTAATAACTTTAGTGAAGATGACTTTGCTTTCATGGTAAGTGAAAGAGCTTCTATGACTGCGATGTCTAAGTGGATTATAGATTCAGGTGCTACTAAGCACATGACACCATATAAGTGTTCGTTTAATACTAATGAAGAAATTCCAGCAACCAAAATTTGGTTGAAAGACAATGGCATGATACAAGCCATTGGAGTTGGCTCAATTGTTATAGAGATTGTTGTGAAGGACCAAATCTAAAGGATGAGATTGAAGGAAGTCTTATATGTACCAAAGATGAAGAAGAACCTCCTTTCGGTGAACAAACTTGTATCACATGGTTGTAAGGTTCAATTTGACATGAATGGATGCTTTGTGAAGATATTGGATAGAGGACATGTTGCCAAAGGCCTTAGAGATGGAAATCTCTACTTCATCAATTGTAAGAAGGTGAATGGAGTTGAAGTGGCAACATTTGCTTATTTTCCACAAGACCAAGATAAGTTTGAAATCTGGCATCAATAACTTGGTCATTTAAGTGTCAAATGGATGAAGGAGCTTCAATCCATGGTAAGTGGCTTAGATATTGGTCATTTCAGCCACAATGCCATGACTCTTACTTTTGAAGGTTGTATATAAGGCAAACAACAAAGGATTTTATTTCAAAATGAAGTTGCAACACATATAACTAAATTGTTGGAGATTGTGCATTCTGATGTTTGTGGACCAATAAAGACACCATCAATTGGAGGAGCAAGATACTTTGTCACATTCATTGATGATTTTTCAAGAAAAGTATGGATTTACATCATAAAAGCTAAGAGTAAGTATTTTTCAAGGTTTAAGGAATTTAAGGCTCTTATAGAAAAACAATGTGAATATAAGATCAAAGTGTTGTATACAGACAATAGAGGTGAATACATATCAAAGTATTTTGATGAATTCTTGAAAGATCAAGGTATTGCAAGACAAACCTCTATTCCTTACATTTCACAATAAAATAGAGTTGTTGAAAGAACAAATCATACTATTGTGGAGATGGCAAGGAGTATGCTTCATGCACAACACCTTGGGCATGAGAATTGGACTGAAGCCATGATTACTTCAATGTACACAAAGAATATGTGCCCTACAAGTACACTCACATCAATGATTCCACAAGAAGCTTGAAGTGGCAAAAAACCTTGTATTTCATACATGAGGATCTTTAGATGCATTGCTTATATAAAAGTACTAGATTGCATGAGGTCCAAACTTGATGCAAAGAATATAAAATGTGTATTTGTTGGATGTTTTGAAGGTACAAAGGTATATAGGCTAATGTGTTTAGAAACCAAGAAGATCATCAAAAGTCGTGATGTTGAATTTTTGGAGCATAAAAATGCTTTTGAGCACTTGGAGATGTGTTCAAGTAAGAGCAATGGTGTGATTGTGGACAAATCATCAATTTCAACAAAGAAAGAAAGAATAAGATGATGGTGATAATGAAGATGGAAGAAATGTAAATTAAGGTGAAGTGCCAAAGAAGATAGATCATAGTGTGCCTTCAATTATTAAAACCATCAATGAATATAATGAAGATATTGATGATAATAATGATGATGAGGAGTATCAACCTTCAAGTGAGAAAAAACAAGCTTTAAAGAAGAAGAAACTTGGACGAGAGCATGAAGTGCAATAAGATTAATCTTCTCCAAATGAAAGAAGATATCCTTTGAGAGAAAGAAAACAATGTGGTGAATGGTAGAAGGACCACATTTTTCTTCAAGTAAGTAAAGAATATGATAATGTTGCTCTTCTTGCTGATCTATTGAGTTTGTATGATGCAATGAAGTCCACGGATACTATGAAGTAGGAGAATGCTATGGAAAAAGATTACAAATCACTCATGGATAATAGAACATGAAAATTGACTCAAGTTCCACCAAATCAATCTTTAATTGGTTATAAGTGGGTGTTTACAACCAAAAGAGATGCAATGGGTAATATTATGAGATACAAGGCTAGATTGGTTGCCAAAGGTTACTTACAAGTTGCTGGTGTTGATTTTAATGAAACATTTGCTCATGTGACTAAATTCACCACGATTAGAACGATTGTCGCAATTGGGATAGCAATGGACTTGGAAATGCATCAAATGGTTGTGAAGACGGCATTCTTGAATGGAAGCTTAAAAGAAGACATATACATGGATCAACCTCAATGATTTGTATAAGAAGACAATCAACATCTTGTTTGTATATTGAAGAAATCTTTGTATGGATTCAAGTAATCTCCAAGGGCATGATATCAATGCATTGATACATTCTTTATGAATGAAGGATTTGTAATGAGTGAGGCTAATCATTTCTTATATGTAATGCAATCAAATGAGTTTATATTGATTTTCATCTTATAAATTGATGATTTGATCATTTTAACCAATATTATGAAGATGATGGATTGGTTGAAGGCAAAGTTAGAAAAGGAATATGAAATGAGTGATTTGAGAGAGCTTCACTATTGTTTAGGAGTTGAGTTTGTAAGAGATTGTGCTAAGAAGACTATTATAATGAGCCAAAGCAAGTATATTGAAGAGGCGTTGAAGCGATTCAACATGAAGAAGTATAAGCCTATTGAAACACCTTTGGAGGCCAATTTGAAGTTGATGAAGCTCACGAATGAAGAATTTGCTGAAGTTGAAGGTCAAATGCAAGGTGTTCTATACAAGGCAACAATAGACTCACTAATGTATGTAATAGTTGGCACAAGGGTGGATC